CTAGCTCTATGAAAGATGACAATCTCAAAACTTACTGTTGCTTTTGAGGGATGTCAAACTAGTCAAAACTGCACACTCTTTGCCCAATGCAATTGGCTGCTGATTTTTCTTGTTTTTGAGTTCCACCACCACTGAAGTAAGTCTTCCCCTATTCCGTGCAACCTTTGCCTCTTATCTCTGCTTCATCCTGCCAAATATCAAAGATTAAACGCCAAATATTTCCCCAAACTTTAAATTTTAAACAATTTTAGTCCCTAAGTATTTTTTTATACTTTTTCCCTCCACAATGAAAGATGCCATTTTTTTTTCGGTAATTCCATCTGTTTTATCCGTTTTGGTCCCTGAACTTTTGTTTTGTGCGCAATTTTCATTCCTAAACTAGGTCTTTTCCCCCATTCTCATGTTAGGGTAAAAGCAAAAATCTGATGATGGAAACAAAATCTGGAAAACACTCTTTGCTTATATTAACAGTCATAAAGTCGAGAAAGTCTACAATATCTTGGTTATACCAAACAGGCTGTATCTCAAACTAGCAATTTTTTTGACACGTTTTAGATTGTGGGACCATGGAACTCTTAAAAACTAACGTTGTTTCCTACTGTAGGTCGGTCTTCCTTTCTTTCACCGTCTATCTTCCTTCTCCAATCGGCCTTTCTTATTTCTTTTTTTCTTTGGCCAACTTTTCCTTTCATTTTACTCTCCACTTTAAGTAAGATAATTACAAAGTCTCTTGTTTGGATAGAAAATAGCAAAGGGAAGGGAAGGGAGGGGAATGGAGGAAAATAAAAGGAAATGGAGGGGGAGGAAAAGAAAGGGAAGGGAAGAAAATAGAAGGAAATGATTTGTGTTAATGAGGAAGGGGAAGGGAAGGGAAGGATTGTATTATTTTATGTTTGGATAATTAAAATAAAAGGAAGGGAAGGAAGGGAATGATTTAAATTAATTTTAAATTTACAAATTTACCTTTTAAGCTTGTAATGGAATTGCTTATTCGTTTTTACTTGTTGCGATTTGTTCAATTCATTAAATCACTCCATTATTCATTGAAACCAAGCACAAGAAAAGTCAAGTATTTTACCATATATTTTTTTTGGGTCATAATATGAGTTTGGATTAAAAAACTGATAAATGCAAATCAAAGGAAAAAAATTATTGATTAAAAAAACATAAAACTAAGGTTAAATCCCCATTTTGGTCCCTGAACTATTGTACGAATCTCTGATTTGGTCCCTAAACTATTGTACAGACCCCCATTTTGGTCCCCACTGTTTATAATTTGGCCTAAGTTGGTCCTTGAACTATTGTACGGACCCTCAATTTGGTCCTTACTGTTTACAATTTCGCCCCAATTTTGTCCCTGGGCTATTATTTAACAGAATGACCAAGTTGGGGCTAAATTGGTAAACAATAAGGACCAAATTGGGGATTCGTATAATAGTTTAGGGACTAACTCGAGGGTTCGTACAATAGTTTAGGGACCAACTTAGGGGTCCGTACAATAGTTCAAGGATCAAATTAGGGATTTCTTTAATTCAGGGACAAATCGAGGGTCCGTACAATAGTTCAGGGACCAAAATAGGGGTTTAACCTAAAATTAAAAATTTAACAAAGAATCTCAACACGGATGTGGTGTTGACACATGATTTTGGTGTCGACACCAAACGGAAGGGCTGAGCATCTAGAATCCCGACATGGACGTCGTGTCGACACATGATTTTCGTGTCGACACCAAACGGAAGAGCTAAGCATGCAAAATCTCGACACTGACGTGGTGTTGACACATCATTTTGGTGTCGACACCAAATGGAAGGGTTATTCGACTATGTAACTTTATGCCTTTCAAGTTAGGATGTTTATGGGTTATTCGACACCAATCAGTAAAAAATGATTCTAAAAATAAAAAGCAAATAATTTTATTATAATATAGTCTCAATGATACCAATAAATAATAAAATAAAATAACTAATAAAAATCAAACCCCAAAAAATTATTCAAATGTAAATTCCAATGGATGCAAATTAGATTAGTCAAATTTAAAAAATAAAACCACGGATTGTGCCCAAAAACTTGATGATTAAGAAGTACCAAAACAACTCTCATAACAATATCCAGACGTCTCCCAGGTGGACATCCTAGTACTGCTCTTAATTTATCTAGATTCTCAAGCAAATATAAATAAGCAGTGGTAATTTGATGTGAGTTAAGTCCCAAATCCTCCAACATATTCCAAACTTCAGCCTCTAAAAGTGGAGGACGTGAATTTCCTTCTGATAGAGCTCGAGCTACATTGTTGATAGCTTCTTGAATGCCCATTGCTTCATTTTCAATTTCTTGTGACTTCTTTAGTTTTTTTGATTTTGAGCTAGTTGGCACATTTGAAGGACCTCCAAGACACGTTAAAGGATCAAAATCAACATTATTAGTTCCAAAACCATCCAAAGATACTTGATTCTGTGACACCATATAATCAATTTCCTCAATGGTATTGTGAGACTCATTATCATGTTGGGATGATTGCTTTTTCTTTAATTCTTTTGCAGTCTCTGACTTTTCACCTGTAGCTCGATCATTTCCAAATAATATCACAAATATATCATAATGCAACACTAGTTTTGTCATCCACTCTTTAGCATAATTATTAACCTACAAATCATCAACATTTTAAAATAAAAGTAATTAATAAGTCAAGCAAAATCATACCAAATAAATTTAAATTAAAATTGTACCTTTATTAATGCATCCCAAACTTCAGGCTCAACACTCCATAGCTTGGTAACAGGGCTCCATGAAAAACCACTAAGGTTTTTGAATAAATCATAGGATTTTGAAAGGTTTGCCTTTAAAGTTTTCATGCGATTTTTAATTTTATCTTTGTCAACCTCCTTCCCAAGTTTTTCTTTCAATT